GTATTTCTGTATATTTACGGATTTCCCTTAGTTAAGTAGTTTCAATTCGTGCATTGACCCTAACATAGAAATGTTCATAAATATAGTCCCATCTTCTCAGCTTACAAATTCAACTCAGGTGTTTCCTCTCCCCTACTATATTCAGCTCGCGTTTCCTTTCCCCTAACATATTCTGATCATGTGTTTCCTTTCCCCTAACAATTCCGATCACGTGTTTCCTTTCCCTTAACATATTTTGATCATGCGTTTCCTTTCCCTTAACATATTTTGATCATGTGTTTCCTCTCCCCTAAATAGTTTACGTTTTAGTTTTAACAGATATGATTGTAAAGAAATAGTAATTAATAACGAGAACAAAATAAGTAATAAAAACAAAATCTGGTTATACCATTCTTTCAACTTTTTTTTTTTATTTTGCGCATTTGACAATTACCATTATGCCAAGAAGATTAAGTTTTCCGTATATTTCTTCCATGAAAATTTGCTACTTGTTTCAGTTTCTTACATCCCCTACTTTAGTGTTATCCGTCTATTTGGCTATGCTAATTATCATTGATTTCAGCATTCAAGTACACGAGAAACCCAGTCGTAACTAACATTTTAATCCCAAGAAACACCAAGATCATTGCAACAAATGAGCCTAACAAACTCATCTCGCAAAAGCGTGCCAGAATTCCAGCTATACTGTCGATTTTTCCTAGCATTATTCTGGTGTACTTATAAGTGTGAAACAGTTATTCAAGCAATGTAAAGTAAGTGTAGCCCGAATGCGCCTACCCGTTTTGTAGAGTAATCTGAATTCAAACATTGCTTATCTTTTTCTGATTTGTCAAGGTTGAGAAGTCACACCAGTTTATACCGTAGGCAAGTCAGATTTATAAAAATATCGTTTTATCATGGATAAAGTATAAATGAAGTATTGCTCAAATATTTACGAAGATTTGCCTTTTTGTCAGAAACAAATGGTGTTTTCTCAGCCGCCTATGGCGCCAGCCTTGCTTGATTATGGTTTCTGGTGCGTTAACAAAAGTACGTTCATTTAAAGTTGTAATGACTAGCTCCAGGAAATATGTGGGTTTGCTGATTACAACCAGTTGATTTAAGCGTTAACGATAGGTATTAAGGTATGTGTTATTTCGAAGTTAATTGTGCTGATTTTAAACATAATCACTGAAAATTGCCAAAATTAGAAAGTTTCGCAATTCATTAAATGTATTTGCTAAAGAAACACGTTCTTAAGACGGAATGATAGAATATTTCATATAATCTGTTACTAACAGATTAACATATTTTTTCTTTTCGAGCTTTATCTGTAACAATTTTCAGACAACTACATATATAAAAATAGCACTAAAGAAGATACTTTATCGAGTAGTTGTGACTGTTATTAGTATTAATGAATGGCAGAAATAGTAATAAGATCATAATAATTTATGGTGTATTTATTTTAAAAAGTTGCATCAATGGTATAGGGCCGTACACATTAAACTTGAACTGAATGCTGTCAATATTGTCTCATACACCATCCCTACTTCGTATCAATATAACCTCGTATCCCATCAACACTTTGTGTCAATATCGCCTCACATCCCATTGCTATTTCTTATCAGTATATTCTCTCATCCTATCGCTACTTCTTCTTAGTATATTCTCACATCCCATCGCTACTTCTTGTCAGTATATTCTCCCATCCCATCGCTACTTCTTGTCAGTATATTATCCCATCCCATCGCTACTTCTTGTCAGTATATTATCCCATCCTATCGCTACTTCTTGTCGGTATATTCTCAAATCCTATCGCTACTTCCTGTCGGTATATTATCCCATCCCATCGCTACTTCTTGTCGGTATATTCTCAAATCCTATCGCAACTTCTTGTCGGTATATTCTCCCATCCTATCGTTACTTCTTCTTAGTATATTCTCACATACCATTGCTATTTCGTGTCGGTATATTCTCCCATCCTATCGCTACTTCTTGTCAGTATATTCTCCCATCCCATCGCAACTTCTTGTCGGTATATTCTCACATCCTATCGCTACTTCTTCTTAGTATATTCTCACATACCATTGCTATTTCGTGTCGGTATATTCTCACATCCCATCGCTACTTCTTGTCAGTATATTCTCCCATCCTATCGCTACTTCTTGTCAGTATATTCTCCCATCCCATCGCTACTTCTTGTCAGTATATTCTCCCATCCCATCGCTACTTCTTGTCGGTATATTATCCCATCCTATCGCTACTTCTTGTTGGTATATTCTCACATCCCATCGCTACTTCTTGTCAGTATATTCTCCCACCCCATCGCTACTTCTTGTCAGTATATTCTCCCATCCTATCGCTACTTCTTGTC